GGATGAGGGAGTACGGGAGAACTAGCTGGTCGGGCCGCCCCACGAGGTTGGTGCCGAGACCCGAGACGGGCCTGCTGACCACAGTGGGACATGACCGTAGTAAACACAGCTACCCTGGCCCACCACCCTGCATAAAAAGAGTAATTAAACATGGTTTCCTGCCGTTTCCTGTCATCTCTTGGAAGCCCTAGGTCTGTGCCTGTCCTGTGTGTGTGTGCCTTGCTGATCCCCTCACACTATATGCGCTGGTCACGGCAAAACATCCTGGACTGGACACCTTACTCTTTCACCCCATCCACTCGCGCGGGAGAGAGAGAGAGAAATTCCCAAGAGATTCCTGTCTATTTGTTGCGCGGTTCATCGCTTTCTTCGGCGGGGCTTTTCCCTTTGCGCGGTTGGTGGAGCAGGACATGTCCTCCTTGGCGGAAACCAGTTCACTTATCGCAGGAAGAGCGGGCATGCGATGGCCCCCGGGCCTCCCGCGGTGCGGGCGGGACACGCCTCGTACGTGTTCGACAAGGTGGCAGTCACTTGCTCCATACTCGATGGTGCACCCGACGCAGCACTTACCACGCGGCAACATTCTGCCCGCACGAGGCTCGTACTCAACACCCGAGACGCTTTACCCGGGGCCGTGTGGGTGTGGGGGATGAATCCCCTCAGCGCGACGAGTGACGATGACGAGCTTCCCTTTCTGTTTGCAGACAAGCAGCAGGAGCTGGACCTGCCGTCGCTTCGGATAGAGGATACGACGGACAACCGGCCCGCCAAGAAGAAAGATGTGCCGCGCACGACCAGCGGCACCATGTCGCACATCCAGGGCGTCAAGCGCGCCCTGTGCCACACCAACTCCTTTACGGGGGAGCGCGTGCCGGTGCACGGTGTGGAGACCCCTTTCGAGGACGACCTGGGCCAGGTATGCAGCTAGACCAGGGCCTGTATCACTACAACCCGAAAAGGAACATTTTTCCAAACCATAAAGAAATACTCTGGAATATATGACAAGATTTTGGTCTTGTTCCAAGCGCATATTTACATGGATGGCTCTTAGATCTAGTGCTCTGTTCTTAAATTGAGAATATTGGAATATTTTTTTTCATTTCTTGAGGCGAGAACTTGCTCTTGGAATGAGGGCTGTATAGTCTTGGATCAAGACGAAAATCCCGTTGCCATATTGGAGCGCAAAATTTAAAACGAAAGCATTTCCTTGTCTGGAAAAATGACCTTTGTTGTTGTGCTAAATCAGTCTGACCGGGAAAACCTGGGCTGTTTTTCTTTCCAGATGATGGGCCAAATAGACACTTGGGGTATCGACATCTTCAGAATCGCAGAATTATCCAACAACAGGCCGCTGACGGCAGTAGCATATTCCGTATTTCAGGTAACAATTCCCTTCTTAATCTTTCGATGTATTAATTGTAGGATAGTACATCGTAGCTGTGTGTGGGTATATGACCTTCTAAATGCATCAGCCTTCTTGCCTAATACGCATGTTCACATTGTTCGTGTTACACAGGGTCGCGATCTCCTGAAGACTTTCTCAATACCGCCCAAAACTTTTGTAACTTTCATGATGACCCTCGAGGATCACTATGTAAAGGATAATCCTTTCCACAATTCTACGCATGCTGCTGACGTGACCCAATCAACAAACGTCTTGCTCAACACCCCTGCTCTAGAGGTGAGTGCGATTTTTCCTCGGATTTTTCTCTCCGAAATAAAACTGGCATCTGAAACTTACAGTTAATCTTCTTTTTTGGCGTGTTTCAGTCCGTGTTTACGCCTTTAGAGATCATGGCTGCATTGTTCGCAGCGACAATACATGACGTAGATCACCCGGGTCTCACCAACCAGTTCCTCATCAATTCAAGTAAGGGTTGCAAGTCAAATCTTAAATAAATATAGCAGAACATTGTTTATCCTGTGGAAAAAACATAGGCTGCTCGACTGCATATCAACATTATTTATGTGTTTCAGGCTCAGAGCTTGCACTCATGTACAATGATGAGTCTGTCCTAGAAAATCATCATCTGGCAGTAGCATTTAAGTTACTCCAGAATGACGGCTGTGATATCTTCACAGGTCTCAGTCGTAAACAGAGGCAAACTCTACGTAAAATGGTCATAGATATGGTAAGAACTCAGAAAGTTGCTTCTCTCAAAATTCTTAATGGTCACTCTAAATGTCAAGGGACAATTTTGTCCGTAGATTTGCAACGATTTCGTGCACATCCAGAAAGGATGCAATTTTGTTCCTAAAACTAGACAAATTGTGTGAGGCTTCACACAATTTTGTCCAATTAACGGAACAAAATTGCATCCTTTCTGGATGTGCACGAAATCGTTGCAAATCTACGGACAAAATTGTCCCTTGACATTTAACATTGTTAGGTAATTTTACGTTTTATCTCCCATTGATTCTTTTTCTCAGGTATTATCAACTGACATGTCAAAACACATGAGCCTTTTGGCCGATCTCAAGACTATGGTTGAAACCAAAAAGGTGGCAGGGTCTGGAGTACTTTTGTTAGATAACTACACTGACAGGATACAGGTAAGATTATAGAGGTTGTTATTTTGTTCAATGGAACTTTTATAGAGAAAAATATAATGTAATGTAATTGTTTTTCAGGTCCTCGAAAATCTAGTACATTGTGCCGATCTTTCCAATCCCACTAAACCTTTGCCATTGTACAAGCGATGGGTCACTCTGCTCATGGAAGAGTTCTTCCAGCAGGGTGACAAGGAGCGGGAACAAAATCTGGACATTAGCCCAATGTGCGATCGCCATTCGGCTACCATTGAAAAAACACAGGTTAGACGTTATTTCATGCAAAGTATTTATTTTATTTTTCAGAAAATATGGTTTTTCTATTGTTATATTATTCGTGTTTTGAACCACTCATTAGGTCGGCTTTATTGACTACATTGTTCATCCTTTATGGGAGACATGGGCTGATCTTGTACACCCCGACGCACAAGAAATTCTGGACATGCTGGAACAGAACCGTGATTGGTATCAAAGTATGATTCCACCCAGCCCACCGTCCGGAGACAAGGTTAGTAGAGTTAGTAGAGACAAGGTTAGCCGCTAATTAACAAGGAAAGCAATCTTAGTCAACTCTAAAGATACCTACTAGTTTTGTAAATGTCAATTTATTAAAGAAAAGATAGGAAATTTTGATGATTAGAAATTGCCTTTGGTGGATAATTATATTTAAAGGTTAAGCCTGTATAAAATAATACACAATTCGTAGCAGGCTAACAGGAGTTTTGCTGTAGCCAAAACTTGCCACCTTGGGCTTTAGTTCTGATTATTAAATGTATCCCTTCAGTCGAACCCATCACATCAAATTTTGCATTTACGAGCTGACGTTAGGTCAAGTCAACGTTTACTTGTTGTAGGTGTTTAATTAAGAATTCAACTTCTAACCACTCAACCATTCTCTCTACGCTTCCACGCGATAGACTGTCTCTGAGCAACAGAGCTGCACACTGTCAACTCAAGTGTGGAACTGCTATACAACTAGGTTGACCATTGGCGTCGTTCTTTCTTCTGGTTGGGGATTGCCCGTTACGTAGTCCAAAAGTACGTTCGTTTTTTGTCAGATTCATTCGGAAAAGTACGGGAGGTCAGCGCCTGTGATACTCGGGGTAGGCCACCCCGCAGTGCACGCATGCCCTGCATGCTTGATGTTGCCTACCTACCGGGCGTTATGAGAGCGTGTAGAGGCCAAACTAGGCGGGTTCCTAACAGCGAATTGTTGACCGTACTTTCTGGACGATCCCTTACACTGTACTGGGTGCAAGCGTGCGAGTGGGGAGTGGGCAAGCCGCCTTACGGCCCCGTGCGTGCGCCTGCATCCGGTATAACCAGAACGACGCCGATGTGCCACTCTGTACCAGATGGCTGGTGGACTGACCGACCAACCTGGCGCGCTTTTGTAGCTATACTGCCACGCGGTTGAGGGCGGGTTTGCCTATCGTCGCTAACCACGGCGCCTAACTGCCCCGACGGGATATGCATACCGCCCACACGCCTGCATGCTGTACAGTGTATTTACAAAAGTGCCCGGGGTTAATCACTGGTTCCTTGTTCCATCAGTAGGTTTGCGCAAAGTGATGTGATGGGACGTGGAGGGGCACATTTATGCATGCCCTTCATTAGAGTACCCCTCAAACCTTCTTAAGTAGTTGCCTTGACGTGGACCAACCATTCTTTTTAATATGAAAAATTTTGTGTTTTGTGAAAAGAAATGTTAATTAGGTCTGATAACTCCTTTGTGAACACCTACATGAAATTGGCATGCAAACTTGTTTATTTGTCTCCGCTTCACTCTCTGCCCGCCCTTCCTGTTAGTGAAAATGACCGCCGTACTGCCCATTTTGTTTAGTTCTACAAAACTTTCTTGAGACAAACTCGACGCATCTCGCGACCCTATTAAAATTTGAAAGGAAGCGGTGCATGCAACCCATATATTTTGGAACTCAGCCCAACCGATGAATGTTCTTTTCCCGAAGCTGGGCCATTCCAAGTCTGCATTTAGTATGATCAGGATCGCATGACGTTACGGATTGCGACAGCAATTTTTCCCATGTAAATACAGTCGTATGTCAAACCGTAGCAATAGCGCTCCTCCTTTGTCGCCTTGAGACAGTTGGTAGCGCACGTGCGCACGTACTCTAAACTGAAGCACCTACTCAGCTTCCATGAAAGTTCACAAAATAGCTTTTGCATCACCTACTACCACTGCATCGCGTAGCAGCTGCCCAACGCCCATAGAAGGCTGTAGGCCTGTAGTCGGCCTGTGTGCCAGAGGGCAAGCGCTACGTCCCCCGGTGCTGTGCCCAAGGGGACATCCCGAGCCCCCTTTGACCGGTCGGCGTGTCTATTTGGCTCTGCAGGAGGGCGGGTCTGAGAGAGGCGAAGCGGCAGACGACTGTGCCGGAGTTTCTCGACAAGACCGGTTCCGCTTCCAGGTGACACTAGAAGAAGGCGAGGGTGACGAAGAGCAGGAGGAAGAGGACGAGGCAGCGGGGGGTAGCGACACTGACCTGGCGGGTGACGCCTCTGGGGATGCGTCCGGAGACCCTGCTAGTGCAGCAGGCATGTGACGGAGAATCATGGGCCTGTGTAAGAAACTGCATGAAAAGGTCCAGCTGTGGTGGCGCGCCTCCAAGTGACCACCATCACCGTCCCACCGGAAGAAGAAGGGCGAGGTAGGACGGACACGGGGAAAACGCTTGGTATCTGCCACTTTGTTTCTGACAGGTCAATAACTCGCGATTTTAAGGCAACTTTAAAATTTCTTGGGAAAATGTTATAAAAAAATACCCTCTTGACTTTCTGTACATTTCAAGATTTGAATTTATTGTTCGCGCTGACGGACTGTATGTATACTGACGCTAGATATTATCTTAAGGACGTGATTTCCGGCCACGTTGCCGTTTTGTGATGAGTTCAGGAAAACTTGTATGTTCTCAGCTGATCTTGGAATCGAATGAGCTAGTCAAAGAAATAGTTTTAGTGTTTATGAGAGATAAGAGTCTCTTGGTGTTATTCTCCTCTACCTGTTCCTCTGTGGTCCTCTTCCCTCTACCTTTTAGTGGCCTGGCCTTGAATTCAATAACAATCTGATTAGAATTAAACCGTTAAATTGTTCTGTTGACAAGTATAATGTTTATACACGTTCGTTGAAGTACCAACCAGAGAGCATGACGTATTGCGTAATGAAAAACATTGAGTGAAGATCTCGTGCGGAACTAGTACATGTGTGCTTTCATTCAGTTTTGGAACTTCTTACCCAAATAGATTGACGATAATAACTACCGTTGCTTTGATTTGTGTAGTACCGTACTGTTGGACGATCAGGGTAGACACGAGAGTTTGGTTCTGAGTGTGGCCGATCCTCCTACACCCGTAAACTCTCCGGGGCGTCTCCAGTATTTATTCGAGTTGCTTTTTATGATTATCTTATGGTTATTATGGTTAATAATACGTACAAGAACTGCAAAGTTACATCTTGCCATTATTTACATGTGCATAGCATATAATATATTTATTATACTTGAATTAAATATATGTTTTGTTAAGAAATACTACATGAAACATATCAATGTGGTTTCCCGCTCCTAGAACAAATACTCACTTTTTTTTAAATATACAATTGGACAATTTTAGATCAGAACAAAAAAATACCCCTCCTTTTATTTATGCTTTAAATTTTCTATAAGTTTGACAAATGTCACCGATATGCTGTTGTCCTAGTTTGCTTTTTTATCAGCCAGTGAATTGTTAAGTAATAAAGACAAGAGAAGCTTGGCACACAATGTTTGTCCTTTAAGTACAATGTGTAACAAAACCTTAAGTCTTAAGCGTTTTTTTAACGTATGTGATTTTCGATCAAAACAGATATTAATTGTACAGAGCACATGGAACTTCCTTTGCATTTTCTTCATGGTTGAATTGCACAACATTTTTGTACCTTTGTTTTCTTTGTTTCGTATTTATCAGCCAATGATGTTTACTAATTTTATTCTTTTCTTTTGTACTGTTATCGATTCGTTTGATAATTTATTTAGTTTGTGAGTGATGTACTGATTAGTGTATAGAGGTGTCGGACGCTGGACGTCCTATCTCCCTTTGCTGACCGCAACATTCTGACCGAGCGACCATTATATATATATAGCCACTGTGAGCCTCCGCAGCAAAACTTACACATCACAATTTTCCCTTTTATCATAACTTCTAAACGTTATTAATTTATTACTTATTTATTTCATCTATTTTTTATTGAGTTGGGCAAGCCTTGTGATATTCTTCCTCTGTTTTAAAATAGAAGTTTTTGCTGTTGGGGCTCAAATGTGCGCTTTGCATTAAACAAGCATGCCCGGCCAGAAGGCCTTTAATACCCTTAGTGACAAAGTAGGACTGTCGACGTCTAAGTTAATGTGGTGTATATAGAAATATCTGTACTAAAATGAGCAGGTTGTAATACTTAAATTTGGCACCAAATAATCTGACATCATGCTGACGTTAAACAAAATTACCAAAATGAGTTGGTCGGGCTCCATGTTATTCATTTACTCTTTGTTTTTGCTATATAATTTTTTGACTTCATGCACTTTTGTTCCCACACTGTCTGTCTATGTAATGTGCTCTTAGCTTGCTGTGAGATGAAACATCCTGTGATCGGAAGATAAATGAATGTTATGGGTAACGAGGCGCTGAGAGTCAAATATATCGCGTTGCGGAATCAGAATCAGAACGCTGGTCGTGTCTGGATTTCTAATTTTAAGTTAAGCTTAATCATTAATTGAAAGAACATTTAAACTGTACCCTTTAAGTACAAGCAGGGTTTGACCTGCCAGCCAGCCCGTGGCGACAACTCAACTTGAAGTTTTGCCGTTGCCAATACTAATGAACAACTGTGTCAATGTAGATATCTTGAAGTGTCATTGCGATGAGTACGCAGGTTTTCTTTATAGAAGTATAGCATTTCTCTCATCCTTGCCCCTTGATCAGTCAGTGGGCTCCTCTATGAAACCTGATATCTATTTTTTAACTCTTTTGTTAATACATTTTGTCATATACTGTATAAATTTACCTTGTATGTATTGAGATGATCATCATTTTTATTTCATGTTTCACTGTTTCATAATGGGATCATCCACTGATTTTAACAGAACGCTTTGTGTTAACAATTACTGTATTATTTGACTAGTTTGTAATGATTGTACTAATTCGTTTAGCTCTGCTTGTTTGAGAATGTTGAAAGATCAGTTGTTTTTATCCGTACTGTTCTATGATATGGAAAGTAACTTGTGACGTTTCCTCAGACATAATAACTTCGAGTTGTTTGTATTTGCTCTTGTGTTGAAGAACGTTTTGCCAAAATGTAAGAAACAGTGCTTCATAATGCCAGTGACAGCCACTTCCATACCAGAAAGTTTATGAATTAAATAATGTTTAGATACCAACACATCTTTGAGTCCGATAAAAAATTGTGAAAAACAACCAGTCTTTTTGCCATACTGGAAATTGGTTGGCAAATAAAGGCATAGATGGCTAAATTTGGCCTTCAGTTTACATTAGAACAAAGTGTGGTGTGATAAATAACCCTATGAACCCGCGGTAGACCTCGTAGCTCGCAGACAGACACTTGCGTTGCAGTAGCTTAACTGTATTAACTGTTTTAGGGGTAATGAGCTGAATGAGTCTTACCTGATTGCTTTTAAGTTGAGCGAGGCAAAGCAAACCTCTACTTGTGAACGAACTGTTTGTAACTTTCTTTTATAATTGATTTAATTTGCATACTCCGTAACTTCTGTGTGTGTATGTGATGTTTGTGTTGCCCTATCCTGTGCTCGATCTGCCATACATAAGAAAAAAATAAACCCATTCTCAATGTGAACAATTTTAAATGTTTGTTCCCTATTCAAACCACTGCCAGCGGAAAGTACACCGATAAACTAAGTGTTCCACTGTTCAACACTTGCAAGTGTGCAACTGCAATCTGAATACTTTCAAGTGTGCAAGTCGGTAGTTGAAACTTGAAACTTGAAAGTGTACAAATACGGACTTGCACACTTAATATACAATTGGACAATTTTAGATCAGAACAAAAAAATGCCCCTCCTTTTATTTATGCTTTAAATTTTCTATAAGTTTGACAAATGTCACCGATATGCTGTTGTCCTAGTTTGCTTTTTTATCAGCCAGTGAATTGTTAAGTAATAAAGACAAGAGAAGCTTGGCACACAATGTTTGTCCTTTAAGTACAATGTGTAACAAAACCTTAAGTCTTAAGCGTTTTTTTAACGTATGTGATTTTCGATCAAAACAGATATTAATTGTACAGAGCACATGGAACTTCCTTTGCATTTTCTTCATGGTTGAATTGCACAACATTTTTGTACCTTTGTTTTCTTTGTTTCGTATTTATCAGCCAATGATGTTTACTAATTTTATTCTTTTCTTTTGTACTGTTATCGATTCGTTTGATAATTTATTTAGTTTGTGAGTGATGTACTGATTAGTGTATAGAGGTGTCGGACGCTGGACGTCCTATCTCCCTTTGCTGACCGCAACATTCTGACCGAGCGACCATTATATATATATAGCCACTGTGAGCCTCCGCAGCAAAACTTACACATCACAATTTTCCCTTTTATCATAACTTCTAAACGTTATTAATTTATTACTTATTTATTTCATCTATTTTTTATTGAGTTGGGCAAGCCTTGTGATATTCTTCCTCTGTTTTAAAATAGAAGTTTTTGCTGTTGGGGCTCAAATGTGCGCTTTGCATTAAACAAGCATGCCCGGCCAGAAGGCCTTTAATACCCTTAGTGACAAAGTAGGACTGTCGACGTCTAAGTTAATGTGGTGTATATAGAAATATCTGTACTAAAATGAGCAGGTTGTAATACTTAAATTTGGCACCAAATAATCTGACATCATGCTGACGTTAAACAAAATTACCAAAATGAGTTGGTCGGGCTCCATGTTATTCATTTACTCTTTGTTTTTGCTATATAATTTTTTGACTTCATGCACTTTTGTTCCCACACTGTCTGTCTATGTAATGTGCTCTTAGCTTGCTGTGAGATGAAACATCCTGTGATCGGAAGATAAATGAATGTTATGGGTAACGAGGCGCTGAGAGTCAAATATATCGCGTTGCGGAATCAGAATCAGAACGCTGGTCGTGTCTGGATTTCTAATTTTAAGTTAAGCTTAATCATTAATTGAAAGAACATTTAAACTGTACCCTTTAAGTACAAGCAGGGTTTGACCTGCCAGCCAGCCCGTGGCGACAACTCAACTTGAAGTTTTGCCGTTGCCAATACTAATGAACAACTGTGTCAATGTAGATATCTTGAAGTGTCATTGCGATGAGTACGCAGGTTTTCTTTATAGAAGTATAGCATTTCTCTCATCCTTGCCCCTTGATCAGTCAGTGGGCTCCTCTATGAAACCTGATATCTATTTTTTAACTCTTTTGTTAATACATTTTGTCATATACTGTATAAATTTACCTTGTATGTATTGAGATGATCATCATTTTTATTTCATGTTTCACTGTTTCATAATGGGATCATCCACTGATTTTAACAGAACGCTTTGTGTTAACAATTACTGTATTATTTGACTAGTTTGTAATGATTGTACTAATTCGTTTAGCTCTGCTTGTTTGAGAATGTTGAAAGATCAGTTGTTTTTATCCGTACTGTTCTATGATATGGAAAGTAACTTGTGACGTTTCCTCAGACATAATAACTTCGAGTTGTTTGTATTTGCTCTTGTGTTGAAGAACGTTTTGCCAAAATGTAAGAAACAGTGCTTCATAATGCCAGTGACAGCCACTTCCATACCAGAAAGTTTATGAATTAAATAATGTTTAGATACCAACACATCTTTGAGTCCGATAAAAAATTGTGAAAAACAACCAGTCTTTTTGCCATACTGGAAATTGGTTGGCAAATAAAGGCATAGATGGCTAAATTTGGCCTTCAGTTTACATTAGAACAAAGTGTGGTGTGATAAATAACCCTATGAACCCGCGGTAGACCTCGTAGCTCGCAGACAGACACTTGCGTTGCAGTAGCTTAACTGTATTAACTGTTTTAGGGGTAATGAGCTGAATGAGTCTTACCTGATTGCTTTTAAGTTGAGCGAGGCAAAGCAAACCTCTACTTGTGAACGAACTGTTTGTAACTTTCTTTTATAATTGATTTAATTTGCATACTCCGTAACTTCTGTGTGTGTATGTGATGTTTGTGTTGCCCTATCCTGTGCTCGATCTGCCATACATAAGAAAAAAATAAACCCATTCTCAATGTGAACAATTTTAAATGTTTG